ATGTCCAGAAAATGTGTCCAGCAAATGTTCGTTTTGTGGGAAAAGAGAAATTTCCGAAAAAAATTCTCGTTTGGATCGCATTATCTGAGCGTGGAATTTCGAAACCACTCTTCCGGTTGTCAACCTCGGCTGCAATAAAATCCGAAATTTATATCAAAGAATGCTTAGAGGAACGATTGTTGCCATTTATAGATAAGTATCACGATGATTTAAATTACATATTTTGGCCGGATTTAGCTTGTGCCCATAGAGCTAAAGAGGCAATATCGTGGATGAATGAAATTATTAACTTCGTGCCGGTCGATATGAACCCTCCTAATGTCCCCAAAGCCAGGCCAATCGAAGACTTTTGGGGAGTATTGGCTCAGAATGTGTATGAGGGTGGATGGGAGGCCAAAAGTGAACAACAACTGATTCGGCGTATCGAAGCCTGTCTGAAAAAAAATTGATTTGACATTTTTACAATCCCTTATGAAGGGTATCAAAACTAAATTGAGATTAATAGCCGATCAAGGCGCTCAATCGATTTACAATAAATAATTTTAAAAAAATAAATATTGTGTTATTATTTTTTAAAAATGAAAATTTTTTTTTCTTTTATTTCTTTTAAAATATAAGGCTTTGATTTTTGTGTCACTAATTATGCATCACCCGTTATTTTATCTGTTATACTTTATTTTTTTTATAATTTTTAAATAGTGTTGCAGTAAGTCTTGCATAAGTGATTTGTTGTTTAGTATATTATATGTATTGCAATAGTCATAGTATTTAAATAGTCTGGAAACGCGGGCCGTTTTCTATAGGTTTTGTAAAATAACTTGAATTTTATGGGGTAACCGGACTAAGAGTGCATCAAATGTTTTTAAAATGACTTCTTGTGGCGCAGACTTTGAAAGCTTAAATGAATTCAATGCTGTTTTAGCTGCTATTGAGTTGTTATTTGTTGGAGAGAGATCCAATTTTAGTTCAAATATTAGACTACCTAATTTATTTTATCCTAAACAAAGTAAAGAATGAATAATTATGCGTTTGTTTTGCAAGAAAAGATGTATATCACAAAGTAACTTGTCACCTCAAGGCCAAACACAAGGACAAGTTTACTGATAAACATTTAGTAAATAATAAAAGAAAAAAAGGATAATTCTTCATCCTATTAAATTTAAAAATTATTTAATCTAGATTGCAGAAAAGCTTGCTTTAGATAAATGGTACTCTGCTAAATATAGCAGAGTTACATTCAGCTTATATATAAGCTGAATTTGAAACTTTAAAATCAAGTCAAGTATTTCAAGAAGAAATCATTACAGCTTAGTTCCAAGTGAAAATGTAACTGATTCATTTGACGGAAATGCTGAAATTTTGTACCACTGATTCACAATTTTCTGGAAAAATAATTTCTTTTTAAAACTTTGCCAAAATTGTACTTTTCTTTCATGTTTTGAAGAAGTAAATCTTGTCTTTTTTTAACTGACTGGGATCTCTTTTATCATTGATATTATTACGTTGAAGCGTGTATCCCACTACATTACAAAACAAAACATTCTATTATGACATATTGGGAATGTTTTTAGTACCTTTAATTTTACTATTGGTTTTAGTTTTAACATCTCTAAGTTGTATCTTGAGCAGTGTTTATCGTATTTGTTTGCTGCTAAATATACATGAACCGTCTAACACTTTGTATATAAATTTGTAGATTATACATTGCAAAAGAAACCTTTCACCTTGAAAGCATTCAAGCAAAACCTTGCACCTGAAAGCTTTCAAGATTTAAAAAAAGTTTTTCTCTTTTATCAATGATATTATAACGTTTTATTAATGATATTATAACGTTTTGTTAATGATATTATAACGTTGTCATAATATCATAAAAGAGATACTTGATTTATAAAAAATATCAATTAAAAAGCATTCTCTATTTTGGAACAAGAACATTAAAGAGAAAGTGAAATGACTTGAACCTACTAAAATGGCTATTTTCATAGCTACATATTTTTTTTTATATACTATTGGTATATAATTAGCTCCTAGAGTAGTACAAAAAATACTTCATGTATATTTAATAGTTTTATGGTGTAGTAACTTTATGATAAAATAACAATACTAGATTGACTAATAATAATAATGTGATTTTCTTTTTAATTTTAAAATAATAATGACAACACTACAATTTTACATATATTTTACAAATATAAAAGATATTTAGTTTTGAACAAATTCTATAATATCGTGTGTTTTTTTTGGTATGACTTAATATTATATTACTACCACTTAATATTATCTATGTAGCTAAATGGATTATATTTCCAGCTACTAAAAAAATTTTTTAGTTTTTTTATTTTGTTATTATTGAAGGTAAAGTCATTAAAAGATGGGTTACCCTTGCAAGCACTAAGTGATTGTTGAAAATAATTTTCAAATAAGCTGTTCTATAATGTAATAAAATTTTTAATATAGCAAAAACTTATTACTTAAGCAGCAAGTTTAACATTGTTTGATAAATATTTTGTTCACTTTATACGCTCAAACGTTTAGGTAAAATACAAAAGCCACATTCTCTGTCTTCATAGAATATATAAACAATATACTTCCACAGTATAAACTTACCATTTTTACATATATCTTTTTTTTTTTCATATGTTTTAAGTTGGATAAATCATATTTAAATAAGACAAAAACAAGTTGTCTTATTTTAATGTGGCGGATTAGCTATAAAGGAATCATTTAAAATGCCTTTTCAACAACTTGCGATTTTCAGAAACATCGCAAGTTACAAGCAACAACTTTTAAGAAATTTATTTTACAAATTTTGATAGCTTTTTGAAGCAAAAGAAACGTTTGTCATGCAGTGGCACCATTTTTAAAAGTCAGCTAGATTAGTCAAGTATATCATCGTACACTGCAGCTGACTTTGAAATAATATAATTAACATGAAATATCTTATTTTAGTTGAAGATAACCTTAGATTTTAAGATATTATTTTTCTGCACTCAACAAAATAGATAATAAATCATAGCTTAAACTTAGAATCAAGATTTGAAATAAAATTCTTAATTTAATACACTGTGGTTTTTAAATAGAATTCTGTCATCTTCTTTTAATACATTGTACTTTTTTTTAATTAAATATTGTTTAATTTATGTATGTTAGTGATGCAATATTTGGTAGCAGACTTTTGCATCAAGTAAATACTTTTTATTTGCTATTAAATAAATTGCAATACAGCATAATAAAAACAAAAATTTATATACAAGCTTTTGAATTTTAGTTTAAAAAGCTTTGATATACTATTTTTAAAGTATTTATTAAAACCCTAATTTTTTTTACTGAATAATTTTTTTACTTATTAAAAAAAAATAGAAAAACATTTTTGCACAACATTTATTGCTAGTATCGCACTTCTAAAAAAAGTAGAGCTTCTACCGTAGGGTAGAATATCTGATATGCACTTTGTAAGGTAAAATTTTTTTAAAAATCAATTAAGGTAAAAAATTTTTTCCTTTCAAAGTAGAAAATTATACAACAAATTATTATTTTTAACATAATTTATTTAATAATTAAGATAAAATTTTCTATCTAAGGTAGATAATTATGCTTTATTAAGGATATACCACATATCCTACTCTAGATAGAAATTTTTAATTTTTTAGAGTTTTCCAGTAATAAGTGCTTTTTAACCATCTAAAAGGATAAAATTGTATCTGATTTTTTCTTGTTTCTAGAAAAGATACCAACACAATGTAAAAAGTGATATATAAATTATTAACTAATCCAGCTAAGTAAACTTATATAGAATAAAGAGTTTATTAAGCTCTATTAGCTAACATTTTAAATAAATATACTCTGAATATATGACACTAAGCATTTATACCCATATACATCCATCAAATTATGCTGTCGATGAAATGTTTGAATCAATTTTCATATAGCATATAACTTAAATGCTTTTATGATATAAGCTATATGTTTTGAATATGCATACTCATACCACTACAACCTCTGTCACGTAACTACATTTGTCAACAGTTGATGTCTTTATTTTATGCGAAATATGTATGCAATCCAAATTAATAACTAAAAACTGAATAACTAAAACAAACACAATTTGTTCCTGCCATTTCAATATTTATCCTAAGAATATATGCAACTTAACTATAACGAAATACAATGTTTACAATTTGATGCATTCTAAAGTAGGATGAGCACAAGTATAGAGAGGAACTTAAGTGTTATAAGAAAATGGCCCGCGTTTCCAGACTAGTTAAATACTATGACTATGGTATTACATATACTGTTAAGATGAGCACTGTTATATTTTTAGTTATAAATTTTTTTCGAAAACAAATTAATTAAAGTACTAAATTGTTTTAGTTATTAGCGTATTCTAATAACTAACTATTGCTAATAACTAACTATTAACTTTAAGTTGTTAGCATATGTTAATAAGTAAAATAATTAAGTACTTCATATAATTTCTTTTCGAAAAAGATTTTTGACTAATAAAATATTAGTGTTTATCTCAATACTATATGTTGTACATAAAATATATAACATATCATATTAATTATGCAAGACTGTTCCATACGATTTTAAATGACCATACGTTCAAATGATCTTATAAAATTATTTTGTAGTTATTCCAACCCTACTAAATTCCACTCATATTTTCGCGATAGAATATTCTACCTCTACACAAAAATATTAGTGGAGTTTAGTAGGGTCGAAATAATTACAAAATAGTCTACTAACCTTACTAAGAAATTATGAAATAATTTACAAATCTTATTAAAATTTTACATTTCTTACAAATTTTACTAAAAAATCGTACGTAAACTTACAAATCTTAAAGTCGGTTCTTTATTTACATACGTTTGTTGCAATTGCAGTTAACTATAACTCTATTACAACTATGACAAATGTAGTATTTAAAAATTTGGTTATGTTATTTTGGATTATAATGAAATATTTGATCTTTTTATGTATTTTTTGTTTTTTTATAGAATATTGTGAAAGTATAGACTATTCTGGCGTGTAGATGACGTGACTGTTTTAACGTTTTTAACATTCATATGGTTCAAAGATTCAAATCCTTCTGGCACACATTTAGAGTTCATTTTGTCAATCAATTTATTTACATATATTGATCAATTCATTTATTAAGTATTTTTCTGGCACAAAAGCAGGCGTTTTATATTTCTATACTATATAGGCTTGCAATTCCATGTCGAAAAATCAATTTTGTTTTGAAAATGCATAAGTTTCAACCAAGTTAAATTTTTTCAAAAGGACTTAAAAAAACATGTTATTCATATTGTGTAAGGATATTTTCATCTTATTTTCAAAATAAAGTTTTAGTTTAGCATGAAGTGTGTCTTTAACGTTTTTATTTAAAACATTTATATCAAAAATACTAAACTAACTTTAGGTCGCATTTTATTATTATTATGCAATATACATAACAACGCTAAAATCGTTAAATAACACCCTTCTAGGTTTTCATTCAACGGTAGTGCAGTAGTGGTAGAGCACTCGCCTCATAATCGAGAAGTTCTGAGTTTGATCACCACCATGTCCCTGGTAATACAGCGCTCAACTTGTTTCTCCGCGCAGCGGCCTTGCTCGTCATGGTTTCTGTTTTGGGCTTAGAGTTGAGAGGGTTGTAACCACAACTAAAGTAGGTAAATTAAAACCAAAAAAAGAATAAATTCTTTTATTTTCGAAAACAATCAGAATACTTACTTTACTATTTATCTGCGTACAATCAAGTAATAATTACTTTTAATCGAAAAGCCTAATTGTTAACGAAAACTTATCTTTAATTAAATCTTCTTGCGTGTTTATAAACTTTTGAAATAGTTAGGTTTAAGGTTTAAAGATAAATAATTTAGCGTGAAATATTTTAAATTATTTAGGAATACTGTAGGTTTGTTCGTGAGATGACTATTTTATAACAAGATTTTATTTGATATCTTTACAACATTTAATCAAAATTCTAATTTTATTTTGCCCAACTACAAAGCCATTAGTTTTGAACGTAAGTTTTCAAAAATCAGGCGGTGGTATATATGTCTATGTGCTTGATGAGTTTACTTATAAAATTAGATATGACCTGTTGTTCTCTGAGCCGGATTTTGAATCTTTCACTTTAGAAATTTACAATAAGTCATCTAAAAATATTATTGTGACAACTACTTACCGACCACCAAGCGGATGTTTAAATAACTTTCAAAATCACATAAGTGATTATTTTGAAATAGCATGCAAAAAAAAAAATAAAGACCGCTCATTTTTAATTCTTGGAGATTATAACGTCGACTATTTAAAATATGGTGAAAATAATTAAGTACGACAATTTTAAGATCGCTTTAATGAGTTTGGAATGATGCCTATAATAAATAAATTAACAAGAATAACACAAAACCTTTGTTCTGCAATCAACAATATTTTTACAAATACACTCTTCCATTCCACATTTAAATCAGGCATCATCAGAAGTGACATAACCGACCATTTCCAGTCTGAAAAAAGGACTGGTACTTCAAAAAAAGAATCTTTACAACCCGAGCAAAAAATATGTTTAAACTAGAGCTATCGATTGTAAATAGGAACTTTGTTTTTCTCGAGACATGTGCTAATAACAGCTACAATCTTTTCTTAGATAAATTTTTCAATTTGTACGATAAGCATTTTCCTAATTAAACAATCCGTATTAAAACTAAAAGAATTCTTAATCCTTGGTTCACTAAAAACTTTTTAAAGTCTTCAAAGCGAAAGTAAAAGCTATATATACGCTTATATTAAAGTCTTCAAAGCGAAAGTAAAATCTATATAAGCTATATATTAAATCAAAGAAAGAACGTGATAAGTATAATTACTTAGAGCACAAACGTCTATATGAAAGAACTAAAAAAATAGCCAGAACTACATACTTCAAAAACAAGCTGTTAGAACTAAAAGGTAACTGCAAAAAAACGTGGGATGCTATAAAGAGATTCTTGGAAAACAAAAAATACACAACAAAGTCTTACCAAGCGTGATTACTGTAGACGGCACACAAATCTCTGATGTAAAATCGGTGGCAACAAAATTTAATGAGTTTTTCGTAAATATTGGTCCAAACTTAGCCAGCAAAATTAAACACACAACTGCACATTTATTGAGCTATCTATCAAAGTTGGATAAAAGCTTAGCATTTAAAAAACTCATTAGTACAGAACTTGATAATTTAATAAAAAAAAATGAAATAAAAATAAAGCAACAGGCTATGATTCTATTTTAGCAAGCATAATCAAAGACTGCTATGAACTTATCAAAGATGTTTCATTAGATATTTTTAACAAATCGCTAAAAACAGGTGTTTTTCCAGATAAAATGAAAGTTGCAATCATTACACCCATTTTTAAATCAGGAGATGAAAGTCTGGTTACAAATTATCGACCAATATCGGTATTACCTGTATTTTCAAAAATCCTCGAACGAATCATGTATAATAGGATATTTGCATTTTTGTATGATAACAATCTTCTTTATTATAACCAATATGGTTTCCGATCAAATTACTCTACCAAACATGCACTTATGCAACTTGTTGAAGTTATCAGTGGAGTATCTTCTCATAACAAGTTCACTTTAGGTATATTCTTAGACTTGTCAAAAGCATTTGACATCGTTAACCATCAGATTTTATTAGAAAAACTAAAATATTATAAACACCATAAATGGTTTACCAGTTACTTAACTGATCGAAAGCAGTTTATTTCTTTAAATGATGGCTTTCAGACAAACAAACTTAAAAAATCATGTGGGGTTCCACAAGGCTTCATCTTAGGTCCGTTCCTGTTCTTAATCTATGTCAACAATCTATATAAAGCATCAAATACTATGTCACTATTATGTTTGCAGACGACACCACTTTATTCTATTCTCACAATAATATTATCTCTCTATTTTAAGTACCAAATAATGAACTAGAACAAATATCAAATTGGCTTATCGCTAACAGCCTATCTTTAAACACTGATAAAACTAAGTTTTCTTTATTCCATTCTAAACGAAAGTTTCAATCTATTCCAAAATCCTTACCAATGCTATATATAAATAACATCAAAATTGAGCGCTCATTCACAAATAAATTACTTGGTATTTTAATAGACGAAAACTTATCCTGGAGAGCTCATATTAAACATATTAGCAATAAAATCTCAAGAAGTATTGGCATCTTATATAAAACCAGTCAAATCTTAGGCAAATCTACACTAACTCAACTATACTTTGCATTCAACTCAACTCGACTGTTTCCTTAAACAACAGAATCATGCAGCACGCATTATTCATTTTCAAAATCGCTTCACAAATGCTAAAACTCTTCTAAAAAGCATGAGGGAACTTGATATTTATGAATTAAATATTTTTAAAATTACACAATTTATGTTTCAACATCAGTCAAAAAAACGCCGAAGGTTTTCGAAAATATTTTCCATAAAACATTAAACCAATATAACACGAGATCTACCGGAAGATTTAAAAAACCTTTCCGTGCATCAAAACTTACGAGCTTTGCCATTTCCTATCGTGGCCCAATGCTATGGAACCATTTTACAAGCCTGAGTGGTAAACTTAAAGAAACCAATACCTCTCAAAAATTTAAAAAGAGCATAATCGAACTTATTGCTAATCAAAATTCTTTACATGATTTTTTCTAACAATACACTTTTATTTCCAATTTTTATTATCAAAGGTTACTGATGATAAGGTTTTATCTTTTTCAAGTTCTCTGGTCTTGTAACTATTATAAATAATGATATGTACTTGTATTTAACATTTTTAAATTTTTTATAGGAAATTACCATTAATTGTAAATGGTTGCTTGACAAAAAATAAAATAAATAAAAAATAAAAATCCTTAAAGCATGCCTGATTTTAGCATACTTATCCAGCGGGTGACCTAAAAAAAAGAAGCTTTTTCTTAAGAATATGTTTCTTGTCATACTATACTTTAAAGATAAATACTTCGATTAGAATATACACCGTGAGTTAAATTTTTTTAAAAGTAATAAATTATCACTATGAAAATGCCATAAAATAATATATATTCGCTTGATAAAGTAAGTACATTTAGTTCGGTTAACGTATGGTTTTTTTTTTCCATTTGTTGGTCTGGGTTAACTGAAAATGCCTTGACTGTTTAATTTGTCTACTTATTTAACGTGACTTAATACGTTGAATAAGTATCCGTTAATTAATGCGTGCGCAGAATATCATTTTGTCTAATTTAACGATCTACTTATTTAACGTGACACTGTTATTAAAGTAGGCAATAATATGCTACAGATCAATATTAAGGTGGTACACCCCATTAACTTTAATAAATTTAAAAAAAAATTAATTTTTCAAACATTGATGTTTTTAGTTCATAAAACGTATTTATGAATTTTTTTTATAGTAAAGTATATAAATAAGCATGTAGAAATACGTGTACTTTGGCCATTATAGGGTTTTGAAGTCCATAGCAACGCTATAGCAACGCACTTTTATTTTTTTTTTTCTCATTTATTTATCACCAAGTCCCTTGTTTTTTTAAGATATTTATATAAATACGTTGTAGCTAAAATTAAAAATGAGAGAAAAAAGGGAAATGTTTCAAAGAAGTTTGTACAAAATGCAGTTTAATAAAGTCTTTGGAAGTTATTTTTAATGTTTAAAAAATATTTTTAATTAGTTAAAAAGTTCTCATTAACATGAAGGTTTAACTACGGTAATGCAATGCTATTTACTTTCAAATTTCAAAGTTATTGATTGAAAGAAAATTTAATAATTCATTCAAGAAAATAAAAATAAACAGCAACAACAACAACAAAAAAGAAAACATGAAAAAATGAAAACATAAAAGTTAATTTACAATCAAAAGATATATATACACATGCACATTTATGTATATATGTACACATATACACATTCGTACATAAATGCTGTAAATCCATAATTACTTTTTCATAATATAATTGACAGTAACGTATATAGAATTAAAGACTAAAGTCCCTTCCAGACAAATAAAGTATGCACTAATAGATAATTTTCAAATATAATATTTTTAAACATAGATTTAAAAATAATTCTGTTTGATTGTTATTTAAAAGCAATAGTTTTAGCTTTTGTTATTTAAAAGCAATAGTTTTAGCTTTTAGACAAGAAAATTTCAACTTGTTGAAACTTTAAAACAACAATATCTTATTTATATTTCAGCTTCTTCTTTATTATGTACTTTATGTTTAGTGAATGTTATAAATGGGCTCATGCTTTTTTTTTGTAATGTAACGAATTTTTTCTTTGTTTTTTGTATTTTTCTCAAAACTTTATTTTTAGCAAATATGTAATTTTTAAAACATGATATTTTCAGATTGCGACCTTATATTAACTTGAAATTTTCAGGGTGCTTTTGTTATTGTTTGACTTAGGTAATGAACCAGTATTACAAATAAATATGGTGTCGAAGTATATTTAATACCTTTTTTTATTGCCTTTTTTGTTAAAATTTTTTATAAATTTATTAAAAATTAATTTTAAAATGTTCTATGCATCTTCAACGCATGATTTTGGTTCATAACCTCTTCGCATATTTCAGGAACATATTGTGAAAATTTTAGAACTAAATGATTAATAGAAATAGAGATATCTTGTTTTAAATTATACCCACTTTTGCGTAATTTTTATGGGATAAGCGAGACAAAATTTTGGAAATCAAGATTTTGTATTTAGAAAAATATTAGCATACTTGTTTCAACTTGTGTGATAGTATTTTTAATTTTGTTTTGATTATTTTAAAGAAAATTTTTCGAATGGGGGTGTAGCACCTTAAAGAAATGTTGCTGCAATATATATATTTATATATATATATATATATATATATATATATATATATATATATATATATATATATATATATATATATATATATATATATATATATATATATATATATATATATATATATATATATAACTTTATTTGTAACAAACTAAATCACATAAGAAACAAAGATAAATTATAAATAATCTACAACTAAAATAATTATGTTGTTTGACTTTTGAACGTTTTATTCAAACTAAATATTTGATACCATTATAATAATAACAAAGTATTTAATGATCATTTATTTTTGGAGGCACAACAATTATTGGGATGTGAGCATGATGCAGAATATAATCACTTGTGCTACCAAGGAACACACGACTAAGCGCACCAAGTCCTCTCTGTCCAGTTATTATAATATCGGCATTGTTACTTTTAGCCAAATTACAAATTACATGTCCTGGTGAATCATGATTATCAGCAAGAATTGTTTTTGAAGCAACTTGGCAATCATTGCAACGTTGCTCATAGCTTGCAAGCAATTGGTTACTTGTTTCAATACTTGTTCTGATAATAGCTTCATAAGTCTGGGTCATTGGAACAACCCCAATCATCAATCCCATTGTGGGAAGTTCAGGCATTCTATGAACATGCACTAATAAAAGCGTATCATCATTTCTGTGAAAGTTTTTCACATACCAGTTAAACGCATTCAAACTTGTTTCACTGTCATCCACAGCCAAAAGAATTGTACGACTACCAGAAGACATAACTGACGATTTACAAAATAAACTTTAAAAAAAAAAAAACAGTATTTAATAACTAAAAAAATTGTATATGACACTATCTATAAGTGTGCGTGTGTGTGTGTGTTTATATATACACACACAAGTAAACAAAAATTTAAGGTATATTAAATTATAAAAAAATTAAACATATATTATATATAGGCCTCGGCGAGAAGCAAGAGCTTTAGCAATAGGGGAGCAATTTACGGCTCTCGCAAAATAAATTTTATTTCATACACATACCACTATTTTTGCTTTTTTCTCTATTAATAAAATTAAAAATTCTTGTGCAAACTACACTGGAAACTACTTTTTATTATTAACTCATATATATATTATGAAAATATTACGTACTAGGTTATTGTGTATTACACAATATAAAAACAAAATATAAAAATGATTAGAAATGTGTAATAATAATAATTTTTATATTTTGTAATGAATTATATATTTTATATATTAATTATAATTATTAATTAAATTATATAAATTTATATAAATTCGTCACAATTTGAGCAAAATAAAAAAACGTAATGCACCATTAAATGTTCTGCTAAAAAAATTGTAATCGTGTTAACACGTATAAATCGTATAAATAAATATTCCATTGAATGAACAAAGTTGTTAACGAATATTTATTCGCTAACAACTTTGTTCATTTTTCTGGGTTTTCACTCTACCCATCCATTTGGATGGGTAGAGTGAAAACCCAGAAAAACTAAAACAAAACAAAACTAAAAAAATAACAATCTTAACGATGATAAAATTAATAATAAAAAATAAATACCTGAAAAAATAAAAGCATAAAATTAATATAAGTTTATTTTAATTTAAAATTGTTTCACAAAGATTTCAGAAAAAAGC